TAAAACTTAAAGACTCTATTTTAATGTTTAAAAGATTTTTTTGTAATCAAAAAACATTTCTAATTAATTAAAATCATCAAACTTATTCAATTTATTCACAGTTTAGTAACAAAAAATTACATTTTTAGGGCTTTGTGAAAAACCAAACTTTTATTTTGACGGGTAGCCGTGGAGATCTTTGAGTTTCCGTGTGTCTATGATCTGATGATAACTTTTCTCAGTTGAAGCATTAAAAAGCTCATGAAGTGACTAACCGACTTTGTACTTTGTTTATGCAATACGTCTGGTAGAGCTAGACCGATATATCGGCAGACCGATATAAGGCATTTTCCAGACTATCGGTATCGGCAGTTATAATGGGCGATAAATGAATATTTCAAAAATAAAATAAAAACGGCCGAAACATGCTTGAACCATGTCATGAGTGTTGGAGTTGTATAGTTTGTCCACCAGAGGGCACTCAGTCATCAGTCTGCTCTGTTGTGACAATAAAAGTAACAATTTTCTTTATAAAATGCATTATCATATTATTTTAGTTAACTCAGAAATAACTACAAATAACTAATCTTAGGGAAATAGGTTCATTTTTTGTTGCGCGTTTCTGAAAAAAAAAAAATATCGGCCGATATATCGGAATAGCGTATTTTAAAACCAACAAATATTTGTATCGGTATCGGCCTTCAAAATCCTTTATCGGTCGGGCTCTAATGTCCGGCAAATTGGTTTTGAAAATGGCCGATACTGATAACCATAAAAATGCTTAATATCGGCACCGATAATCAGTCGACACCTAATTAATAGATTTTAATCAAGACAATCTATTTTGTCATTTAAAAGTTGAATTTCTTGGCCAAAGTCAATAACAACATTTTTAGAGCTTCCAGAAATAAGAAAAAAAGTGCAGTCACAATTGTGGCCGGTGGGAAATGTGTCCAACTGAACGAAAGATTCACGAATGAGTTGGGCATGATATTCTGTTTTTCACATACATCACTGTACTGTTGTTGCTTTTTTCATTGTGATGAAATGTGTGGTGTGTCAGATGGCTAACTTGAGTTTTTAGGTCTTCCTTCCTCAAACTTTTTTTTATGCATTCTTTAAAAGTATTAGTCACTCTCCTTAAAAATCTCTGAATCAGATACGATGGTTCGGTAATCGCAGCACAGTTTTGACTTTTAAGAAAAGGAGCTCAAGATGTTCATGTTGGCACACAGAATGAGTTCCAGCATCTTGGAAAGTGTAGAGGGGAAATGGAAACACACACAGGATGAGTCCAAAGATTCAGACTGTAATTGAATGCATGTGTTGCCGAAGGGGTTGGATGACGTGGCCGAGATTTCAGGATTCAGTGGAAGACGCACAGCAGCTGTTCAGATTTCAGCAGAACATGTCCTGTGAGCTGCTGGAGAACCATTTGCATAAAACACCAGGTGGACTGAGAGTTTGTGTCTATGCAAAGAGCCGTCGCATGCTTTAGTGTTGAGTCAGGTCAAAAATACTTTGAATTCCCCCCAAAAAACACTTTTTAAGAATCTTCTCATAATTTTTTCTTTCTTAAAAGCGAGGTCACATTAGGCAAAATTGTGCAAAAACGGGTCTGTTGTCAATTATAGTGCAGTGATGTATGAAGCACAGCTCACACTAAATATCTTTTTGCTGGTCAACACGCCCAACTCAAACACTGAAATCTGCGACCTCGCGTGACACTCTGGATTTTGCAGAGCAATCTGTTTTAAACAAAGCTTTCAGCTTAAAGGAGTAGTTCACTTTTAAAAAAAACTTTTGCTGATAATTTACTCTCCCCCATGTCATCCAAGATGTCCATGTCTTTCTTTCTTCAGTCGAAAAGAAATTAACGTTTTTGATGAAAACATTCCAGCATTTTTCTCCATATAATGGACTTCAATGGGAACCAAACGGTTCAAGGTCCAAAAGACAGTTTCAGTGCAAACTGTTCAAAGGGCTTTAAACGACACCAGACGATGAATAAGGGTCTTATCAAGAGAAAATGAAGGAATATTTTTTCGAGTCATTTGGTTTATTCAACGAACGAAATGAACAAGTTGACTCAAAAAAAGATTTGTTCATTTTGATAAACGAGTTTGAACAGGAGAGTCACGAGCGCGCATCACAGAACAGAGCAAGGTGAGCATTTGTGCTTATAAAACTTAAACTTTGTTATTTATTTATTAAATGAGCGATCGTTTCACTTGATAAGACCCTTATTCATCGTCTGGAGTCGTTTAAAGCCCTTTGAACAGTTTGCACTGAAACTGTCTTTTGGACCTTGAACCGTTTGGTTCCCATTGAAGTCCATTATATGGAGAAAATCCTGGAATGTTTTCATCAAAAACCTTCATTTCTTTTCGACTGAAGAAAGAAAGACGAGGACATCTTGGATGACATGGGGGTGAGTAAATTATCAGCAAAAGTTTTTTTTAAAAGTGAACTACTCCTTTAACACTAGAACGGCCACAACGGTCATTTTGACCGTTTTGAATTTTATATCTACAATAACTTTGTTGAAAAAAATAATAAAATCCTGCTGGTACCTGACTTTTACTAAAATTGTCTGTATTTTCATTTAAAATGCTTTTCATATAAATTAAGTTACGTAAACGTAAGGCAAAACAAAAAAAAGAACATATTTACCTATTTCGGCCATAGACTGTCATATTGACCGCACTGAATTTTGCGGTATTTTTTTGTTAAATATCCCGCGGTTGATCGTGTTCTCTCTCAACTGTCAACAGAATGGTCCGTCCGGTCACCTCTGTAGCAGTGTTTGCCATATAAAATTTCTACATTAGTTGTTGATCAGAAATGAGCAAATAAAACAGGACTACAGTTATATATAATTCGGATGCAGGGGAACAATCAGAGGTGGAGTGACAGCGACGTTTCCTGGGTGCAAGTTAACATTTCCTCCTCATCAGAGAGTGATTCAGAGTCAGAGTCCACATCAAGGAAAAAGAGACGGCTGCTATCATCAGACACGGCGGATCCAGATGTTGAATTCATGTCGGATGATCGTGGTGAGCTCTGCTGCCCTGTTTGTTTTGCTGCATGGGCTGTTCACTAGTTCTGCGAGTCCTATTATTATAGCCTTGACCGCGTCGCAAATCGTCACTATCTAACATTTTCGTCATAGTCTTTGTCATTCAAACCTTGTTTTTATTTAGTTATCGTCTCGTTTTCGTCTTTGAAAAAATGTGGTTGACAAAAATAATTACGAAAATTATTTATCAACACTGTTTTGAATCTAACGGTCAAAATGACCGCTTGTGGCCGTTCTAGTAGTTTTGGAATTCTGGCACTTCTAGTGTTAACGCATGTCCTAGTATTTATGTATAGCAATACAAAATAAATGTGTCTTAGTTGGTATAATATTGTATGTTTACTATGAGTTTTTATGAGCCTTTGAGTTGATCTGGGAGTCTTCAGCAAGAACTTCCATGCACTCAGATCACACCAAAAGCCTGTTATTTTCCTAAAAAAAATGAATTTATCTTAAGCTCTTTCTTATAAAATCCCCTGATTTCCACACACAGTCCAAGTCTGAGTCACATATAGTGCGTCTGAAAGCAATCGCAATTCAATAGTAAGTGATTTAACTCTCGTGTGCCGTGAAAGTGCTTCCCATAATGAATTGTTTGCTGCACACTAGCTGAATTAATAATGACTTTGGCAGGGCGTTATGCGCACCCATCAGACGCTCAGCTTCAGCTTACCATTTTCCCATAAGCTTTAAGATTATGTCGCTGTTTCACCAACAGATTTTACAATATATGGGCCATTCCACCCAATGGGTGACATTTGCTTGTTGTATCTCTTTTTAAACATTGAATCTAATACTACACATATTTAACTATTCATTTCAAAATGTGTATTGGTCAATCTCAGGCAACTTTATTTTTTTATTTTTTTTTACAAGGTTTAAGCAGAAGATGGGCACATGTTTTCTCAATCCTGTTACTGAAAAACATGTGTCGTTTAAAAGCATGTCAATTAATTCCTTTGTTTTCCCCACAAGAAAGTGTTTATTTTAAAGAAATTGTTGGTAATATGTCCAAAAAATAGATATTTGTGCCAATAAAACCACTATTAAAGCAAGGTGTATTTTGATTAAAAAACACAAAGGCATTTTTTTTTTTTCATTTTAAAGAAGACTGAAGCCTCAAGTTTATACTTTTTTTTTTAATTAATTGATTAAGAAATTGTATAAATTATGGGCCAAACAAAACTGATAAAAATAGTGGTTTAATTTTATTTTTTTAGAAAAAGAATAAAATAGTAACAGGATTGAGTTTTTAAGCAAAAAGTTATCAAATATATGGCATGTGGCCACATAGCATTGATGCTTGCAGCGTGAGGACACTAAGCCATTTGTAGTGCCTAACCAAAAGGTAATATTTAAATAAATAAAAAAAAAATTAAATAAATCTAAGAAAAAGTTTAGGTAACAGGACCGTATGTTGAGATTGACCTTATTTATAGTTACAATTTCATCAAATATGCAGAAATGAAAATGAGACTTATAGTGACTTATAGTCGCCCCATTGCCTTCAGAAGATCCAGATGATGCAACTTCCTGTTGATAATGTGTCTTTTGGAATATTCCACGTTTTTACTGTTTTACAGTGAAAACATGACTAAAATGTGTATTTTATCTAAAATATTAGATCAAATGTTTTTTTTTTTTCTTTTTCAGATTTCTTAAGGATTTTAATCATAATATTTCATGGTAAAGTTTAGAGATAGAGAGTTGGGACATTCAGAAAATGCTATTTTTTAGTGTTCTGTGTTGTTTTTAATTTGTAGTTTTTGCTTAATGTGCATGACATTTTACTTAATCAAATGTATTTTAGAGTTTATTTTCATGCAATTTTATACCCTGGGGACAGAATGGCTCATATTTATATATTGATGAATTTTGAAGATGAGTTTTGACCATGTTTTAGTTTTCTCTGGCCTGACCCATCTCTCCTCATCTCTTCCAGGGCTTTGACCCTCCCCATCAGAGTGACACGCGCACCGTTTACATAGCAAACAAGTTCCCACAGCATGGCCATTATATTCCTCAGAGGTTTGCAGACAACAGGATCATTTCCTCCAAGGTAAGAGAGTCATTTGTCTCACGTGTGCATGTGTTTCATGAGATTTACAGTCATTTGACTTGCATGTGCATTGACTCGTGATCATTTGCCAGTGAAATCCTCCACGCCGTTGTTGTTTTCTCTTTATAGTACACCATATGGAACTTCGTGCCCAAGAATTTGTTTGAGCAGTTCAGAAGAATTGCCAATTTTTATTTTCTCATCATCTTCTTGGTTCAGGTAAGCTCTCAGTTCACTCATAACCTAATTCATATTCACAAGATGCGATTTGGGAATGCAAATTACACGGGTATATGTTAATCTAATTTTGTGAATATAAATGTGGTTGTGCGTTTGCAAATCATAGTTTGTGAATGTGAGATTTGTCACTAATATTTAGTAAATAAATCCATGAGGCTATTTTAGCTCCATAATACTTGGTTTGAAAAGATAATGCAGGTTCAGCATCATCAGTGTTGGATGTTTTCCAGTAAGTAAAGATTATGTTCACTACAAACACCACAGTCGTATACTAAAGTACAACACGACAACAAGCACTAGACATTTGTCAGACTCTGTGTCATGAAAGCAGGAAATAACGTGATATTTCGCTCTAAATTTGTGTTATTTTGCTTAAAATTTTTTTTTAGGGCTGCCCAGATCGACTATTCACGTTTTTGATATTAATTTAATTACTTAAATGATCGGAAAATGGGTCAAGTTTCAGAGCTGACAAAGAATATTACATGTAACTTAGTTCCACATTACAGAGAAAAATGCTAAACAAGAATAATGAGACTTTAAAATGTCAATCAAGCACTCAAGTGCACACATAAAGCTTAGCACACTGGCAAAAGTATTGATTATGAATGTCAGGAAAACAGCACAGAGACTGTCTGAACATTTTAATAATGTATTAAAGGTGCAATACCTAAGATTTTTGCATTAAAATATCCCAAAATCACAAGGCCAGTGTTATATATTTAGTTAAGATGATAATTTAGTAGTCCAAATGTTTCAAACAATGTTTAAATCGCGAGAAAATTGAGATTTTAACCAAGGAAACGGGGCGTGTGAGCAGGGCTGAGCTGGGAGTCGCCAGACAATCGCGTCATATCCGCTTACCTCGGTTTCCGCTCGTACTGCGTGTAGTCTTGGACAAATGTGGAAGTTTTAGTTGTGCGTTAGCGTCTATCAAGCAACAAACATCAGCTTGTTTTGCGCATTTGTTATGGAATGGAGCACAATTATTCTTTAGCGATTGCGCCTGGTTCTGTCGACAAAGACAAGTCTCATTACATAAACGCAAACGTCAACGAACGGGTCAACCAAACGACCCAAGAAGAATTTGGGACAAGAGAAATAAAACCAGCTCAACATCTGTCTTGCATGTGTTTTACTTGACAGGTGAGTAACACCGTGTTCTGTATTCAAATTTCATTTCAGTAAACGATGCAAAACAATTAGTTTTATTGTTAAAATGTCTTGTTGTCTTTGAATATGATGTGAAAAATCGTAAGGTCATATTCACCGCGAATACTTCTCGGATTGTGAACTGTTGGCTGTATCTTAGAAAACGACGTTTATCTGAAAAGTGTTTCAACCGTCCCGGCTCTCCCCTAACATCTGTGATAATAACTAATTTACTTTTAAACCTTACTTTTCTTGCGGTTATTTCTGTTTAATGAAAAACAAGCATGTCATTAAACGCAACAGTAGCCATGTTTCCATCCACTTGTCAATCGAATTATCTGAAGTTCGGTAAAAAAACACATGCGAATAAAGCTGGTGAAAGTGTGTTTCCATCAAACGGCTTTAAAGCGAGTAAAAACCTGTACGTAATGACGTCACATGCTGTTTTGCGATCAAATTGGTATATCGAATTGATTTGAGACATTTTAAGATGTTTCCATTCATTTTCGCACTGAATCGAACAACATTCAAGCAAACTTTTGCGAACAAAGTTTTGTTACACAAAACGGATCGCGCCATCTACCAACAAATTCACAAGTTTAAGCCTAATAATGCTTATTATGTGCCAGTTGATTGCGACATATGTATGGGATAACGTATGCGAGGCGGTTGTTGTATTCGCTATAACAACAGCCTCGCTATATATTATCCTGCTCATCAACCAGATAAATAAATAAATTATTTGACACAAAATATTGACTTAAAAACGAGTTTATTGATTTAAAAACGAGTATTGCTTCTGCTAAAGAAAATAGTCTGTTCCCGTCTCTGAACTGCGTCCATGGCAACGGTGTGTTATAGCAGCGCCGCAGTCTGTTAACCAGAAACCACATTCTACATTAGAATTCAACCAAGCCACGTAAAAACAAGCAAAACTAACCTAAGAAAACAGCGACGCTATAAACATTGCTATGATGATGACGATGCACGTATGCCCGACGACAGCGGAGGTGACTATGGTGTGGGAACGAGCGCTCCATCAGTTCTGGGAGATCGTGGTTCACGGAAACCCTTTGGTTGAAGCATCTTTTTGCTTTGTCCACTTACATCTGTCTTTGTTGACATCCGCCATGTGTGCGCAAACAAACTGGCCGGAAATGAACTCGTCTTCTGACGTGTTGCAACCATAAAAGGGCATAAAACGTAATCGCAATTCATTATTTATTCGGCAAATAACGTTTCCATCAGCTTTTATCGCATTAGCCGTATATCGATCAAGAGAAAATCCAATGAGACCGAACGTATTTCATTTTAGTCGATTTTCATGAAATTTCATCGAATTTTACTGTTTCCATAAGGCTTTTTTCATTCGATATCACTTAATTCGAATAAAAAAGTGTTAATGGAAACATGGCTAGTTATAGAAATCGAACTTTACCTCATCCATGACAACTAATTTTCGATTCCCGTCTGACTGATTTATCCACGGTGGAGTTGAAAACAACAGTTCCCATCATTCCGCGTTCCTCCACGGCATCATCAAGCAAAACCGTTGTTGTTGTTTTGAATGTAGCGCCCTCTAGCGGCATACGATCTTAGGTATTGTAGCTTTAATAAACGAGTGTCTTCTGAGTCAGTGTCGACTGCAGAGATAATGGACGTTATGTTAAATGTCATTAAGTACTTCCACTTGGATACGTGCTTAATAATAACATTAGAGAGCGGCCATATATAAAACGGCTAACGTTAGGCTACTACGTGCATGTTTCAAATGATAAGCCATGTTTGAGGTCCGGGTTAAACATGTTTCCTTGTTCTACCAAAGGACATGTCTGTGGATAAAGGCAGTATATGGCACTGTTTCTCTCTCTCTCCCTACAGTTGATGATTGACACACCCACTTCCCCTATAACTAGTGGACTTCCCCTGTTTTTTGTCATCACAGTAACTGCCATCAAACAGGTGAGCGTGTTTTGACCGCTTATGTATGACAGCTTTGTGCTAGTGTGATTGGAGGATAACCATTTCGTTGTGTTTTTTCATAATCCTGCTCACACACACGCAGGGCTTTGAAGACTGGCTGCGGCACAAAGCTGATAATGAAGTGAACGGGGCACCTGTGTTTGTTGTGCGCAGCGGCAGTCTGGTCCAGACCCGATCCAAGAACATCCGAGTGAGTTGCTAACAGACGTTCATAAGACACCTCATGCTTGCAGTCGTGTTAATAAACACAATGGAGCCATTTAATGATGTCGTGTTGGTTGATCTACTCTGAAGTTCACCCTGTGTGCTTGTAGGTTGGTGATATTGTGAGAGTAGCCAAAGATGAGACGTTTCCTGCAGATCTGGTGCTCTTATCATCGGACCGGGCCGAGGGGACGTGCCACATCACCACTGCGAGCCTGGACGGAGAGACCAACCTGAAGGTCTGCTCTCTGCTCATGAACACTGGACGCTTATAATGAATCAACATGTGACTCAGTATCTGAACTGCGCGTTGTCGTCACTCTCAGCGAATCAAGGCACTTACTGTGTCAACTCGGGTAAACCTGACAGCAGAGCTTATATGGCCCTATGAAATCCGTTTTTATCTTTTCCCAAATTCCGTTTTTTCCACACTGTTATTTTAGTCGTAAAAAGAGTGTGCTTTTAAAGTTAATGATTAAAATGTATACAAATAAATAGGAATGACCTTAAATTTATTTGAGGACATTTACTCAGTAGCCTTTTCAGGACAAATACGGCATGATACTGCACACTGTATCTCTCTCGACTAGTGTCACTCACGGAGTTCGCTTCGCTTTTGTCCAGCCCAGCGCCTCATAGATGTTTTAAAGGGATACTCCACTTTTTTTGGGAAATAGGCTCATTTTACCACTCCCCCAGAGGTAAACAGTTGAGTTTTACCGTTTTTGAATGTATTCAGCCGATTTTCTGATATTTAGAAGAATATCAGTAACCAGACCGTTTCTGGTCTCATTGACTTCATTAGTAGGAAAAAAATATATACTATGGAAGTCAATGAGACCAGAAACGGTCTGGTTACTGATATTCTTCTAAATATCAAAAAATCGGCTGAATACATTCAAAAACGGTAAAACCCAACTGTTTACCTCTGGGGGAGTGGTAAAATGAGCCTATTTCCAAAAAAAGTGGAGTATCCCTTTAAATAGTGTTTAAAAAAATGAAAGAAACGCAAAATGTGGCGGCCAGAGTTGATTTTGTGGCCGCGAATTAGTCTATGTGTGGGAAACACTGCATAAGTCACGTGCGAACCGCTCGGCACTGACGGCTTACAGCGTCGAGTTTCTTAACTTTTTGCCGACGAAAGGAGAGCCGCTTCGCCATGCGTTTCTTTGTTTTGATTTCGTCATTGGAGCGGAAATGACGGGTTGGGGGTTGTGTCGGCCTGATTTGCTTCCCCTGGTCTGCATTTTCAGCAGACGTACGTTCTTCTCCCACACAAAAACAGAATTTAAACCCAAATATGTAAAATTCCACAAAGTTTCGCGTTAACGCTAGATTCCGTGTTAATTTGCCAATTGCGCAATTCTGTCCGTGATTGTGGAAATCTAAGCTTACTGAATGAGTCAGACAATTCAATGAGTCAGGGTCAGACTGAGATAGTGATGCACTGAGATTTTGTCTGTTTCATACATACAATGTGGATAAACAACACCAGGTTAACGTGGTAGCTGTGTGCAAAATATCAATTTCTTGATTTTAATCGATACTGATGTGGATTCTTAAATCTCAAGATATTTTTAGGGGTTCAAGCGCTGAAACCATATCATAATAAGCCATGATTATGGATCCGAGATAATTTCCAAAACCAACTTTCGCAAACTAGTCGTAGGTTTTTGGCTCAACCTCGATTAAAACCTCTGCTGCTCAATTCCCAGGACTCTCTACGTCAATATTTATATAAAACAAAAAGTAACTTTGGCTTTTGGATAGCTGGGGCATTTAGAAAATTGGCATAGCTAAGTCCACCCTAAAGCCTGTCATTCCTAAATGAAAACTCGAAACATGCGACATGTGTAACTAGAGATATGCTAGTTATAAATACAGTAATCATTACTTTATTTAGGCAGAAAAAGTTCATTGTGGTTTCCAAGCTCATTAATGTTAACGTTAGCGGTCTTCCACTGATGATAGTGGCATTAGCTAGCTTTGTGGTTAGCTAGTCTATGATGAGCCATAATTTAGCAATAGATAACATCATACTGCAAATTGCCAAGGAGAGATGATTTAAGCGTGTTTCGTCCGTTTTTATTTTATTTTTTAAATATTAATTTATCGGCCATTATAACTGCCGATACCGATATTATGGAAAATGCCTAATATCGGCCGATAATATCGGTCTGGCTCTAACTGTTAACCTTCAAATGGTCTTCGTTTCCTGGTTCCACTTCTGGGCTTAGGGGTCGATACGACCTCAACAATTGATTGAGTAATTGTACAAAAAATATACATTTTTAATCATACAAATAATATATCATTTTTTTGTTTACTCCTCATCTATTCATTAATGCTGTGTTTTTGGAGATATAAAGTACTTTTGTATCCATATACCACACAATGCCTCAACTATACCATTAGCTTTAGCATTAGCATATGAAATATTATTTTTTTATGATACACTGGATTTATGCTCTACTACTAGGCCTTCATTTCTGTGTAAATATTTTCAGATTTATGCCGGATTTTTTTTTTTTTTTTTGACGCATGAAGAAAATATATTTAGTTTTTTTTTTTTCACATTTCCCATTCATTTCAATGTGGGGTCATATTGACCCCGAAGACCAGAAGTGTAAACATTTTTTTACACACCTTTACAACCGAATCAAGCCCAGATTTTTTGTGTGTATAGAAAGATAATGTAGGAAAAGTCACAAGATCTTATTCCACTGAGATGAAGGGAACCTTTTTTTATTAAGTAAGCTTTATGGTTTTAAGCTTTACAACCATGTTTTCCTCTGTAAATTGGCTATAAATGGTCTTTTCCATCAATGATCTTGGTGGTTTCAAGCTAGTTAAAGAAAACATTATACCTTATGCTGCTCACTGCTGTCTTAATTTCTGTTTTTACGTAAAACTACTAAACCGAACACTAAACAGTAATTGTAGCTCACCTGACATAGACAGAATTTAAAAGCTGAGAGGTTTCATATTAACAGTAACAAAGCTTATTGCTTGTTTTCTGTTTTATCTTAACAATAAATACCGTTTTGCTGCTCTGTAATGTGTCGTGACAGATCGCTGTTTACAACTAGTTACAGCACCGAATGAACATCAGAAGGTATGCTGAAATATACAGTACAGCTCACTGAAAACTGCATCATGTCTCATGTAATCGATCCGTGTTTCAACCGGCTTGTAATAAAACAATAAAACGGCTTGTAAACGATATCACTTAACGTTACTTTTACCTGAGGAAATGCACATAAACGTATTACTTAGAGCAATCTGATAAATAAATGTACTATATTATATATTCATTACAAATCATCATTATAAAATCTGAATCCTTAAGATGTGTGCTCTCCAGCTAGTGTTATACAGTGGGACAGGTGTATAACAGCATGTGTGTGTGTGTGTGATCTAACACTCAGACCCATTATGCGGTGCCAGAAACGGCCGTGTCTCAGTCGGTGTCGCGGCTCGAGTCTCTGCAGGCCGTGGTGGAGTGCCAGCAGCCCGAAGCTGATTTATACAGGTGACGCCTCTCAGCTTCACTCTCACACTCATCCACATTTGAGTTTACAAGTGCTGACGCAGCACATTCTCGCTTCTCAGGTTTGTCGGGAGGATAACAGTAACCCAACAAGGAGAGGAGATAGTCCGGTAAGACATCTGAGATGAGCGCAGTTTCACTGGATGGCAGAAAGGCTCAACACAATAAAGATTTAAAAAGAAATAAATATTTTTAATTAGATTATATATTTAAGTTGTTTTTTATTTATTTATTTATATTTTTTTGTTAATCTTTTCAGACCTTTAGGACCAGAAAACCTCCTGCTTCGAGGAGCAAGATTAAAAAACACCAAAGAAATATTTGGTACGGCAATATTTCTCTCCAACTTAGGACATTTAGAGTCAACATGAGTTCAAATATACTTTCAGAATATATTTTTGTGACTTACTTCACGTTACCCCACAAAACAGTGTTTGTATTCTTACATTGAAACTGTGAAGCAACTTTTTATCTGCTGACGTCATGAATTCGTCTCAGTTCTCAACCTCCTGCCTGGATAGTTCACTTTGAAATTAATTTTTGATATGTTTTAGCTTACCTCAAGGGCATTCAAGACGTAGGTGTCTGTTTCCACAGTATTTTCAATTTTGATATTTTTAGGTCAAACCGTTCTTGTCTGTCAGTCATATAATGGAGGTCTATGGTCACCACCTCAAAGAGCATGCACAGAGAAGTGCAAATTAAACATGATTTAATGACTCGTCAATGTAAGTACACATTGATGGCCTAAGACACGAACAGAAAACGAACAGTATTTATATCGTTTTTACCTTTTGTAATCACAGTCACGCCCAAGTGATCTGAGGGCGCGGGTTAAAAGAGGTAAAAACGATATAAATACTGTTTGTTTTCTCACACAAACCGCTCGTTTCGTGTCTTAGGCCATCAATGTGTACTTACATTGACGAGTCATTAAATCATGTTTAATTTGGACTTCTCTGTGCATGCTCTTTGAGGTGGTGACCATAGACCTCCATTATATGACTGACAGACAAGAACGGTTTGACCTAAAAATATCAAAATTGAGAATACTGTCGAAACAAAGACACCTACGTCTTGGATGCCCTTGAGGTAAGATAAAACATAAAAAATTAATTTCAAAGTGAACGTGGAGTTAGGATAGGGGGAGTTAGTATCTGTACGTTTTACTAGTACTGTAATGTCTGAAGTCCTTAATGCCGGAGTATAACTGCTGTGGCATCATGCAGGTGTGGCGGTGTACACGGGCATGGAGGCCAAGATGGCTCTGAACTACAAGTGCAAATCGCAAAAGAGATCTGCGGTGGAGAAGTATGCGTTCCCATCATCATCACCAGTGCTTTCTCTGTTCAGTGATGCTCTGTTATGACTACATCATCTCTCTCGTGTCTCTTTGTGCAGATCCATGAACACGTTTCTCATCATCTACTTAGGCATCCTGCTGTTTGAAGCCATCCTCAGCACCATTTTGAAGTACGCCTGGCAGGCAGAGGACAAGTGGAACGAGCCGTTTTACAATCGGAAGACTGACCAAGAGAGAAACAGCAGCCAGGTCACTCTCATAAAGTGGCTTATGATGGTTATATTAGTACTAGTGCTGTCAATCAAGTAAAAAAAAAATAAACTTAAAAACGCAATTAAAAACATTTTATAATGTAATAGTTTCACAGTTAATGTCCAAATTAACCGATATCGATTCTTAAATCTCAAGAATCGATTACTCATCCTGTTTCATTTGAATGAATGGATCATTGTATCGCGGCTGCGCGCATCCAAAAAAATTGCAATAATCTTTGTCCTTTGTTACTATTGATATGAAACAAAGTCTCAATTTTCAAATTACGTCCATTTTCTTTAGAAATTCAAAAACATAAATAACGTTTTGGTGCTGTGGCGTGAGAAGCAGCAGCGCTGATCTCTCTTCCGGGTTAATAATACCAGTCAGCGTGAAATAAACATGAATGAGCATCTGAAAGTGTGTTAAAGATAGAGTACAACTTTTCGAAATCCGTATCACGTCACATTGATTCGCTCAATCAGCGTTTCAACCGTGGAAAGACGTCAGTTAAACAGCTTGTAATCAATGTCATCGTCATATTTACCTCAGAAAACCCACATAAACTCATTAGTCAGCTAGAAAAAATAACTCTAGAGAGGAGCATTTTGCTAAATATATACACCATATTACATATGCATTATAATCTTAATATTCTTCAATATTTAATGCATATTTGAATAAATCTAGCAAGTTTTTATGACAGCCAGCATTTAAATGTTTATATTTCATATAATCTTTTTATTATAAAAATAAATAAGTGTAATTTAAGTGTTTGTATGGCTACAAAACTGTTCATTATTACCTTCATATTAGGCTAATGAAGCCTAGTAGGCTACAACTAGACTCCCATAGTTTACAGAATTAGTTAAGAGATTTGATTTCCTTGAGAAAAATGGCCATTTATTTTAACTGATATCCAAAATAATCAATATTGAATCGAATCGTAATCGAATCGAATTGTGAAATTTGTCTCAATACCCAGCCCTAGTATATTTGTTTAATGGCGTCTTTGTATGCATGAAGGCCAGTGTCACTGAACCCAATGCAGACTGACTGTAACTCTAGCCAAAGGATGACAGAAAAAAAACCGGATGCTGCGTTAAACATTTTAACGCGTTAAACTGAACAAAAATGCATTGCATGCGTTAACCTTGACAGCTCTAATTATTACACGTATGTGGTTTATTCACGAAGGTTTTATTCAAGTTTGGTGGCGATTTTTCTCCTCACAGATTTTGAAGTTTATTTCTGACTTCCTGGCTTTCCTGGTGTTGTACAACTTCATAATCCCAATCTCGCTCTACGTGACTGTTGAGCTGCAGAAGTTTCTGGGCTCTTTTTTCATTGTTTGGGACTTGGATTTATACCATGAAGAGAGTGACCAGAAGGCCCAAGTCAACACGTCAGACCTCAATGAGGAGCTGGGCCAGGTGTGTGTGTGTGTGTGTGAGAGTTATTTGGCCAGCTATAGCTCTGCCTGAGATGAGTGACACTACACTAATGTTGTGCCCGCAGGTGGAGTATGTTTTCACCGACAAAACGGGAACCCTCACTGAGAACGAGATGCAGTTTAGGGAGTGCTCCATTAATGGGATCAAATACCAGGAGATCAACGGGAAGCTTGTGCCTGAAGGAATGACGACGGAAGATTCACCAGACGGATCGGGGCCTTGTTTGGTATGCTTCATTTCTGATACAGTTCTGTTGGTGAGGACTTCACCTTTCAGGTGCTCTTCAGTCATTTCTGACCGAAAGATTTTCTGTTTTGAATTTCTAAAAATCACGGCTTCATCGGAATGTTATGAAACTTGGTGACTATTATGGCATTATGTATGTGAATACAAAAAAAAATTGAGGTCATGATCCGAGCAGGCTAAGTGGTCGTAAAAAAATAGTCACACTTGTGGTCTTTGGTCAAAAATGTCCGACCGATAGGAAATGAATGTGAAATTGACAAAAACACAAAAATTCACAAATTTGTTTACTTTTTTTTTTTTTTTTACATTTTTTAAAAATAAAAAAATCGTTTTTGAGATTTTTTCAACTATATATTCAAATCCACCCCCAAAAAAGTAAATGTGTTCATAAACATCTGGGGAATTCACATACCTCTCCATAGAGAGCTGTACATGCCGTCTAGTGGTTACACCATGATTCTACGCTTTTTCTCTATACTGTAACCAGATGGTGCTAATTTTCTTCAAAAAATGAAGAAATTTTTTTTTTCTGAAGGCCTAGACTCTATATTAAATTAAAATACTGCATTAATAATTTAAAATGTATGTATATATATATATATATATATATAGAAAAATAGATATATTTTTCCATGGCAAAACTAGACTATAAATAATAATAACTTCATTCAAATTGTCTCAAAATACTAAATTACAAAGAATAAATATTATAGAACAAAAATAAATTGCATTGGTTTTACTGGGATGGAGGAAATTAAATTTTTAGGTTTCCGGTCACTTTTGACTGGGAAGATAAGTGTGACTCCGAAACGAAGAGCACCTGAGGGTTAAGATAAGCTAATTACAAAAATATTCCATTTAATTTTCACTGTAGTAAAGGAAAAATGATCTTTTTAAAAATTATAGCCGCAAGCAGCAATAATGTGGGTCAAAGCACAAGTGCACATTACCAAAATAGCACAAGTGCTGGTCCTGTGGATGCTGCGTGTTTGCTACACCTGTGTGTTTGAGTCAGATCTCAACTTCGTTGGTCACAGTTGCTCTATTAGTTTAAAGGGATACTCCACTTTTTTTTTTTGGAAATAGGCTAATTTTACAACTCCCCCAGAGTTAATCAGTTGAGATTTACCATTTTCGAATCCATTCAGCCGATTTTCTGATATTTAGAAGAATATCTGTAACCAGTTAGTTTCTGGTCTCATTGACGTCCATAGTAGGAAAAAAATATATACTATGGACGTCAATGAGACCAGAAACTAACTGGTTACAGATATTCTTCTAAATATCAGAAAATCGGCTGAATGGATTCGAAACGGGGAGTGGTAAAATGAGCCTATTTCCAAAATCCCTTTAAGATTTATTTATTTATAGCATTGGAAATTCATGAAGTTTGGCAGGTATCCTCAGAATGTTTCATGAAGTTTGGATGATGTGATCACAAGATAATACAAATTAGTCAGTATTTGCTTGGGGCGTGGCCAAATGTTAGTCTGGCTCCGCCCTCCTACGTACTCCCGCTCAATTTTCATTTTCCTTCAGTACTATGTCTGGGATTGTGGTGTATTTTTGGTTTTCTCCGGTCAATTTTTTACCTGTCAGTGAACAGAAGAAGTTGCTGAGACGATGACGTTGATGTGGCGTGCTAGTTTGAGTGGTTTGATTCGTCTTACTTCACAGCCAAACGTCAGCCATTGGTTACTGCTGATCCAGAGTATAGTTTTAAACTTCAACAGAGGACCCGTTTACTAGGAAGTTAACGCTTGTCAAGTGAGAGAGGCCTGACCTTGTTGAAAACAGACAAATCTGTTGAAAAGCTTAAAAAAAACATATTTCCTTAGTAAATTAAATATGCAAAAAGCGCTTGAATCCTGATAATTGCTCCTTGCAATTTTTCTTAGATGAATTATGACCGATTTTCTCAAGAAATGACACATTTTTCAACCAGTCATGTTGCCTTAAACGGTATTCACTTTATAGCCCTTAATCCTGTAATTGTGGACAAATGTGGGCACAGATGACTCAGGTGTGATCCTAATTTCTAATTTTTATTTATAATAAATGTTATATCACTGTCTTCGATAAAGTTTTGTCTATCCATTTATGGTGTTTTTTTATTTTGGGGGTATTTTTGAATTTATTTACTTCAAAAAGTACCATATGTTCTATGTAATTTATGCTTATTTTTATGTTTTATTTTTAATTTTTTTTTAACTACATTAAAATATCATTCCAATAAGTTCTTCGAGCTAAAACCTAAAGATGAAGTGACTTTGCTGTCACCTGGTGTCTTATTTTGGCTTATGCTCTAAATTACAGTTTTTCCCATTCATTCATTTCTATGGGTGCCCATTTTTGACCCAAATACAAGATAAAGGAGTTTATTTTTCACCCACTTAACATTGTAGAATTGAGTTAAAAAAAAAAAAAGTGTGTTCAGGAGGCAAACTTAGGAAAAGTAGCCAAGTCTTGTACCGCTCAGATCAAGGGAAGTATTTAAAAAAAATAAATCAAAACTATTTTGCCCACATTTGTCCAGAATACGGTTTTAAAGTTAAGCTGTATCTGTGTGTGTACACATTTCAGAACAGGGAAGAGGAGTTGTTCCTGAAAGCCGTGTCGCTGTGTCACACGGTGCAGATCAGTTATGATCAAACAGATGGGCCGGGAGACCCGTTCTCGCACGCCAATGGCTTCTCGCCTCAGATGGAGTATTATGCCTCCTCTCCTGATGAGAAAGCACTAGTGGAAGCCACCAAGAGGTGAGATCACCGCTTCCGTCTCACATACACTTCACCCTTACTAAACTAAACCTTACTTTTATGTTTTTGACTGCAGGATGGGTGTGACATTCATGGGAAGCCATGGCGAAATCATGGAGATTAAAACATTTGGGAAAGCAGAGAAGTACGTCTATCTGGAGGCGAATATCTAAGGGTGTTTAGAGTGTCCTCGCAGTTTTCAGAGTTGTGTCGTTCTGCCCGCAGGTACAAACTCCTCCACGTCCTGGAGTTTGACGCGGACCGCAGGAGGATGAGCGTGATTCTGCAGACGCCCTCAGGCATGTGCCTCTGAACACGCATGAGCTGTTTATCATTGGACCGCATGGTTGCCTAATGATGTGCCGTCTCTCGTTACCGTAGGTGAAAAGCTGCTGTTTACAAAGGGAGCCGAGTCAGCCATCCTGCCCCACACCAAGAGCGGCGAGATCGATAAGACCCGAGTCCACGTGGATGAGTTTGCTCTGGTGAGGGCTCTCGTTCTAGATGGTGATGCTTGCCAAGTGTCACTATTGCTCATAAGTGTTCAGTGTGCAACTTGTCCTCGTCAATGGATTTTCAGACTTGTGGAGAAGAGTGGTATTTTTTTTTTAATCCGCTGTGAAAAACTCCTAAAAGACTATTTTCACACCGCCTGCAGATTGGTAATAATAGGATTCACACTATTTTCATTGTGATTGGCTTGAGGGGAGTTATTTTAAAGGGTTAGTTCACCCAACAATTATGTCATTAATGAGTCATGTCGTTCCAAGTCTGTCCGACTTTATTATTACTATATTTTAGATTTATTCCGAGAGTTTTTCCATTGAAACGGTATACTGTCCTTGTCCAGAAAGGTAATAAACACATCTTCAAAGTAGTTCATGTGACACCAGTGCTAAATAAAGTCGTAGTTTTTGTTATTTTGGGACCAAAACGTATTTTCGATGCTTCAAATCATTGTAACTAACCCACTGATGTCACAGGGACTACTTTGATGTCTTTATTACCTTTCTGGACAAGGACAGTATACCGTACACACATTTCCAATGGAGGGGCAGAAAGCTCTCGGACTAAATCTAAAATATCTTAAACTGTGTCCCGAAGATAAACGGAGGTCTGATGGGCTTGGGACGACATGAGGGAGAGTCATTAATGACATCATTTTAATTTTTGGGTGAACTAATCCTAACAGCCTGTTTCATTCATTTTCCCTTTCTTACACTCTCTAATAGCGGTGTTATTGTATCATTCTTAAGAAATGTTTTTTTTTTTTTTGAAAAAACAAACAAAAATGGTCAGAAAATAAGTAGTTGGAGGCACAATATGTATGACTTTTGGATTAAAATATCCAAAAACCACTAGAACAATGTTATATATTTTGTTGATGTGTACAGTGGTGTGAATAAGTTTTGACCCCCATGCTAAAGTTGCCTAAAAAGAGGAATAAAAAATCATCTTTTGGATGTTGATCTTAATGCCTTAATTAGAAAAATGAGGAAAACTCCAACCTTTAAGGACACCAATTTTCTTTGTGAATGAATAATGTAGCGTAAATAAATAAATGTTTTTCCTTAAAATACAGGGTGCATAAGTCATCGCCCCCCTATGTTAAATTCCCATAGAGTCAGGAAGATTTTTATTTTTAAAAGCCACTTATTTCATGGATCCAGGATAATTTGCCTCCTGATAAAGTTCCCTTGGCCTTTGGGATTAAAATATCCCCACATCATCACACACCTTCCACCACACCTAGAGATTGGCATGGGGTACTTTCCATAAGATCATCTTTCAATGCAAATCAAACCAGCTATTAGGCTAACTGAAGTAAAACCATGCCAATCTCTGTGATGATGTGGGGATATTTTAATCCCAAAGGCCAAGGGAACTTTATCAGGATGCATATTATCCTGGATCCATGAAATAACTGGCTTTTAAAAATAAAAATCTGCCTGACTCTATGGGAATTTAACATAGGGGTGCCCTGACTTATGCACCCTGTATTTTAAGGAAAAACATTTATTTATTTACGCTACATTATTCATTCACAAAGAAAATTGGTGTCCTTAAAGGTTGGAGTTTTCAATATCCAAAAGATGATTTTTTTATTCCTCTTTTTAGGCAACTTTAGCATGGGGGTCAAAACTTATTCACACCACTGTACTTAAATTATTCCAAATGTTTCCAACAATATTTAAATCCTCAGAAATTAGCTATTTTAACCAGTGTATAACTTGTTATATCGCTCAACAATGTTATTTTAGTTATTTTTTATAAATATGTGATATTTTAATATCGATCTAGCTTTACTGCAGTGTCTCATAGCAGCGAACACGCTGAGTAACAGCTGTCCACACACTCAAATCTATTTGTAGTATGGTTGTTTTGGCCAAGTAAAACAGCTCTGCGTTACCCATCAATATTAATTCATCAAATAAAGTGACCTGTACGAGTATAATTCAGCACATGCTGCTGTTTCAATGTTTCAATAGAACTACAAGGGAGCAGGTGGGAACCAGCAAATGTTAAACGTAACTTAAATTGTAAAATTAACAAACCATAAAACAAAACGAAGGCAAAATCTCCCATTGGCACTGGAGAAGGGTGTGTATCGTAGGCGTCTCTCATTAGTATTCACACCCTGCTTCAAACACAGTAACATCCACGCTCATTCCCTTCGTCCTCAAACTACGCATGTGTTATTGTCTAGAATAATCACCGAAACGTATATATTGTGCCTTTAAGATTAGGGTTGGGTATCGAGAATCGAGTATCGATTGGAACCGAGACTAACTTTTAGTTTTTTCCAGAATCGTTCAAAAGTTAAAATTTCGATTACTAGTTTCGATATTCACAGTCCGCCGAGCGGAAGAAGAAACCGCTGAACAACACCAACGAAGAAGCGTCTACCGGAAGTGTTGGCATAACCACGCGAGTCGAACATGAGTACCTTACGTCGGCGATCCAAAGTGTGGCTTCACTTTTCTAAAAATAACGAAATCTCGGCAAAATGCAAAATTTGTGACAAAAGGAGTATTTTTACAGAAGGAGTATTTCCTTCAGAAAGGCCGTTGGTTAGCAAGGCTAGCTAAACTTTTTTGACCCTGCCTCTTAAAAGAATCGGAATCGAGAATCGTTAGGAACCGGAATCGAAACAAGGAATCGGAATCAGAATCGTTCAAATTCAAACAATACCCAACCCTATTTAAGATGTTATTCTTCATAATGTTTAGAGATTATACCTGGAGACACGCTCTCTCAAGCATGGGTGTGCGAGCAGCGTTTAAAAGTTTATTTGGAGTTTGGAGTTCAGCTTTTCTAATTCAGGTGATGTTGATGAGAGCAGTTAATTAGCTCAGTTTGGTGTCCTCATTATCAGCTAAACCCATGAGAGCGTCTGCAGGCCCACATCACCACTGTCTGTCACATGGCAGTCTCACAGGATTGCATTGAGACTCATGGGATGTTTCAGACACAACAGCCTCATTGAAATGCTCCTCTATGTGCTGAATGTTCCCAGTGTCTCCGCTTAAAAGCATTAACTTAATTATGGACGTCGATCTCGAGATTGTGGCTTTCAAGCCACTTCTTGGCCACCGTCTGTTCTCCTTTGCATCAACTCACATTATTTTGTGTATAATTTAGCAGATTTATCCTCTGTTTGGACACAAATCAGTAAAATGCGGATGTTTTTGTGAAACTATGAATGGGTTTCCTGTGTGGCTTTCGTAGAAGGGTTTGCGGACATTAGTGGTGGCCTGCAGACACTTCAGTGCGGACGAGTATCGGGAAGTGGACCGGCGGATCCATGAAGCCAGGACGGCCCTGCAACAGAGGGAGGAGCGACTGGTGGAGGTCTTCAACTTCATCGAGAAAGACCTGGAGCTGCTGGGAGCGACTGGGGTGGAGGACAAGTGAGTCAACACACACAAGAATGAGGCGGAGACTGATGACTCATACATATAAGCAAATTCATGCTGGTCAGATGAGGTTTCTTTGTTACTATAGATCTTGCTGGAATACATTGTATGTGTGTAGTAGGGCTGTAGTCAACCAAAGAAATCCTTAGTCTTGTCCTGCGCAACGATTAGTCGACCAAAAAAAAAAACACAAAAAAAACTGGATGTTTTAATTGAACATTTTTTAAACAATTGTCATAGAGCATTTATAAAACAACAACGAAAAAACATCAAAAATAAATAAAACTATAATAATAATGAAAATCTTTAAAAATTAAGTGTTTTTTTACTGCAAAAAGTGATGAGCTCTGTCCTAGGTCTATGGTGACAGTCACAATCGCGCACCTGCTTACATCAAACCAGTGTTGTAGTCGAGACCACCTCACTCGAGTCCGAGTCGACACCGAGTCCATAGAGAGTCGAGTCCGAGATCAGAGACGGTCGAGTCCGAGTCGAGACCGAGACCAGTGAGGGTTGATTACCTAATTTACTTTTATTTACTTAGAGAAATCCTTTTTTTTTTACTGAATTTACTTAGAGTTTAAAAAATATGATCAGTTTAGGGTAAAAAGGCCACATAGTAGGTGGTGTTAAAAGTAATTTTATTACAATTTGTCATGCGCAGTTGCACACTAGAAAATCACTGGGCGTGTCAATCAATTTAAAGAAATATTTTATTAACATACATTAATAATCATGAAAAATATTTTGAATTGAACTCGAATGGACTCAGGAATAATTCCGAGTCCTAAAAAAAAAAATGTTCGAGTACGAGTCAATTCCGAGTCCAAATGGACACGAGTCCATGACAAGACCAAGACCATTAAAATATGGTCTCGAGACCGAGTCCGAGACGAGTCCGAGTCTCGAGTACTACAACACTGCATCAAACGCTACAAAAAATATAACTGCTATCTGCCACATAATGAAAAATCTTAACAAAAGCTCTCGTTTATACAGGCTGTGTTCTTCTTTTTTTAGAAAGCTATGGGTTAACTTTCGTCCAGCCGATCTAGCCATCTAGGCGTTTTAAAACAACACACAAAATAGCCTTAAAATTAATCTGAAACGGGCTGTGTTGTAAGAAGGCATATAGGTTTATTTTCGTTTTGTTACGTTATTTAGGCTATTTTCAAATGCGTCAAGTGTACAAATAAAAACGAAAACATATTTAGAAAACACAATCTGAGTCAGCATGATATAGCCGTTAAAAGGGCTGCTCACGTCTTTAGCGCGCTCAAGTTCGATTTCAAATGTAGGCACGCGATGTGAACCAACGCGATCGCGGTCGCCTACCTCCACAAAAATGTAGCCAGAATGAATGAATGAACTGAATGAATACAGCAAAACTACCTACCAGTATATGCCTTACTGAGCGCGAGCAGCAGCGCAGCCGGACACAGGTGCGCTTCCCAAGTGTATTATGTGTGTGTGCTAAACTGTTACAAAAAAATAGCCTAAATTAAAGCATTTAAAGTTGGGGATGAAACATAGACTAATTATATTTAGAATACAGTAATAAATAACTGCTTATAAAGGAATAAATATCAAGGAGTAAATCATTGATAATGTAATGTATGCGAAAATGCGACTGGTCGACCAATAAGAATGTCAGTCGAGCAAAACGGCATCGACTGATTAGTCGACTAAACGACTAAAGTTGACAGCCCTAGTGTGTAGGTCTTTAAATGTCCTAAATGTCTAATTCTGACGTGATCCACTTTGACAACAGTATGGATTTGTCTCAAGCTGTTGTGGCACAATGTCACGACGCTCAGCGTAATGCTAGTCGAACGATGTCAGCCTGTTTCCCCTTTAAGTGTCAGAAGCGGGACTTTTATTTTGAATTTTGACCGCTGAAAGTGAGCATTGTAGCCTGCGTTAATGCTTGTAGTGTGTGTGACAATTAATGTAGAACTGTCAGTATGATGGTGACAGCGGTGTGATGCGTTTACACTCTCCCGCTCATGATAACCGGACGGCCTCTCCTGCGTCGGGAACAGGAGTCAGCCGTGAGCCAGTGTGCGGTGGCGGCTGCTAATGCGGTTTGACATGTCGCTGTGACTCACACCGCTCTCTGTGGACTTAAGATCAGCCATCAATCTGTGTCTACATGCCAACTGCATCATTCAGACCGGTGAAGGCATGCAGGGACACGGGGAACGCGCCTGGAGTCAGGAATCAGCCTGAAATCACCGGCGTTGGGATTGACAAGCCATCAAAACCATTATACCACAGAGGCACATGCAGTCTGCTCACTGAGTGTCTTCAGAGACGTGATCCTCACACGTGGGGGGATTGATTTTTTTTTTTGTAAATCGACATTTGTAAATCGATTCAGAATCGTCCGCATCGCAATGCATCCAAGAATCGATTTTTTTTTCTCCCCCCACCCCTAATAGTTACCGGTAATAATTAACTGGGAAAAGTGTCTTTATTTCATGTTACTGGTGAAAATACAAAAAAAAAAAAATGTAGAAAAGTACATTTAAGAGTAAATATTTGATAATATATAAATATGTAATAAGAAATGAAATAATAATTTTTGGTTTATTGCACATTATTGGTCAGTTTGTGCGAAAAGTTTATATATATATATATAATGATGTAATGGTATTATTTGCTCATTTTAATCTGATCTCTTCATTAATTGAAATTAATATTAAGTGAAATAAAATATTTTGACAAATTAAACTTATTTGTATTCCACTTAGTCTAAGATTTCAGATTTTCATTTGGTTCAAGTGCAAACATAACTTTACTTAAAACATAACTTAATACAAAAATATATAGATATGTGTGTGTATGTATGTATGTATGTATGTGTGTGTATATATATATATATATATATACACAGTGGGGCCAAGAAGTATTTAGTCAGCCACTGATTCTCCTTCTTAGAATAATGAGAAAGGTCTGTAATTTTCATCGTAGGTACACTTCAACTATGAGAGACAAAATGAAAAAAAGAAAAAAAAAAATCCAGGAAATCGCATTGTAGTCCAAACAAGTGTGTGTTTTAAAAAATTTTACGCCATTTAAATGGGTTTGCGTTAATGCCGTTAATAACGCATTTAACTGACAGCCCTAATATATATATATATATATATATATATTAGGGCTGCAATGAATAACATTGCAATGAACTTTTGTATGATGCAATTCATTGTCTTAAAGAATTGTTCTATAAATATGGTGTCAAACATGTTTCTTGACTTCTTAAGTTTGTTTTTCCTCCTCTGGCTGGAAACGTGTCATATGGCTTCTCATATTTGTCGTGTTTCCGTCGTTAGTTTTATTCGACAAAACTTACAACTAGTGTGGCTCTAGTTGAATAATGAATAATGAATTCAAAACTAATACAGCAGTTCAAATGCACATGACTTGTTGTGTGTATCCAGGCTGCAGGACAAGGTCCAGGAGACAATTGAAGCGCTGCGATTGGCTGGGATCAAGGTGTGGGTGTTGACCGGTGACAAGCACGAGACGGCGGTCAGCGTGAGCCTCTCCTGTGGTCATTTCCACCGCACCATGAACATCCTGGAGCTCGTGCAGCAGCGATCAGACAACGAGTGCGCAGAGCAGCTCCGCAGGCTCGCCAGGAGGTACAGCACCATAGCCATGACATATATGTGACCCTGGACCACTAAACCAGTCACAAGGGTCAAGGGTTTGAAATTGAGATGTATATGTCATCTGAAGGCTGAAATGAGCTTTCCATTGATGTTTGGTTTGTTAGGATGTTTATTTGGACGAGACACAACATTGAAAATCTGGAATCCGAGGGTGCAAAAAAACGAAACATTGAGGAAATCTCCTTTAAAGTTGTGCATTTATGCTCGTGATTGAGCTGCGTCCACTCACACAAATATATTTTGTATATATTTACGGTAGGAAATTTAGAAAATATCTTCATGGAACATGATCTTTACTGAATATCCTAATGATTTTTGACATAAGCGAAAATTTGATAATTTTGACCCATAGTGTATTATTGACTATTGCCACAATTAAACCCCGTGCGACTCGTGACTGGTTTTGTGGTCCAGGGTCACATATAATGGCCAATAAGGCCTGCACTCTCAAAAAACAACAACGACTGTTACTATTTTAGGTTACAGTCTATTTTAAGGTGCCATTATACATTCAAGTACTGAGTAGTATTAATTGACTAATTTGTGCTAGTGCAAAATTTGTCAGTGCACGTGGAAATGTGTCCATTTCAAGGCTTAGAAAAAGTGTTGTTGATGGAGAAATGTTAAGCTGGTGTGTTTGAGATGGGTGTGATGGTGTGCCTGTGTTTGTCCAGGATCAAAGAGGATCATGTGATCCAGCACGGGCTGGTGGTGGACGGGGCGAGTCTGTCTCTGGCTCTGCGGGAACATGAGAAACTCTTCATGGATGTGTGTAAGAACTGCTCAGCGGTGCTCTGCTGCAGAATGGCTCCTCTCCAGAAAGCCAAGGTGAGTTACCTTACCCCTTCACGTGTGTGTGTGTGTGTGTTCAGGTTTCAGGTCAGAGGTCGCACACACTTATACGCTATATTGCCCCACACTACCCTGTTGTTTTCATGCACTGGTGTTAAAGGCTCCTGTGTGTTTGGCAGGTGGTGAGACTGTTGAAGACTTCCCCTGAGAAGCCCATTACATTAGCCATCGGAGATGGAGCCAACGATGTCAGCATGATCCAAGAGGCTCACGTTGGTATCGGTAGGTGCAACTTAATGGGTTAGCTCACCCAGAAATTAAGATTAGCCTATGATTTACTCACCCTAAAGCCTTCCTAGGTGTGAATGACACATTTCAGTCGTGTAAGAAAATGCATGGCTCCACTTCAGAAGGCCTTTATTAACCCCTGTAGCTGCGAGGAGCACTTTTATGAAGGATAGATGCACTTTTATCATTGATAGATGCACTTTTATGATGGATAGATGCACTTTTATCATGGATAGATGCACTTTTATGAAGGATATATGCACTTTTATCATGGATAGATGCACTTTTATGATGGATAGATGCACTTTTATGATGGATAGATGCACTTTTATGAAGGATAGATGCACTTTTATGATGGATAGATGCACTTTTATCATTGATAGATGCACTTTTATCATGGATAGATGCACCTTTATCATGGATAAATGCACTTTTATGATGGATAGATGCACTTTTATCATGGATAGATGCACTTTTATCAAGGATAGATGCACTTTTATGATGGATAGATGCACTTTTATGATGGATAGATGCACTTTTATCATTGATAGATGCACTTTTATCATGGATAGATGCACCTTTATCATGGATAAATGCACTTTTATGATGGATAGATGCACTTTTATCATGGATAGATGCACTTTTATGAAGGATATATGCACTTTTATCATGGATAGATGCACTTTTATGATGGATAGATGCACTTTTATGATGGATAGATGCACTTTTATCATGGATAGATGCACTTTTATGATGGATAGATGCACTTTTATCATTGATAGATGCACTTTTATCATGGATAGATGCACTTTAATCATGGATAGATGCACTTTTATGATGGATAGATGCACTTTTATGATGGATAGATGTACTTTTAATCATGGATAGATGCACTTTTATCATGGGTAGATGTACTTTTATCATGAATAGATGCACTTTTATCATGGATAGATTCAATTTTATCATGGATAGATGCACTTTTATCATGGATAGATGCACTTTTATCATGAATAGATGCACTTTTATCATGAATAGATGTACTTTTATCATGGATAGATGCACTTTTATCATGGATAGATTCAATTTTATCATGGATAGATGCACTTTTATCATGGATAGATGCACTTTTATCATGGATAGATGCACTTTTATCATGTATATTTGCACTTATCATGGATAGATGCACTTTTATCATGAATAGATGCACTTTTATCATGGATAGTCATGGATAGATGCACTTTTATCATGGATAGATGCACTTTTATCATGAATGATGAATTTAGATGAATAGATGAACTTGTATGGACTTTAAAACAGAAACGTCAATTCACTGCCATTATAAAGCTTGGAAGAGCCTGGACATTTTTAATATATCTCTGATTGTAATAATTCGTCTGAAAGAAGAATGTCATATACCCCTAGGATGGCTTGAGGGAGAGTATCATGGGCTAATTTTAATTTTTGTGTGAACTTTCCCTTTAACCACTTGCAATCCGGATGTTATTGCAGGAATTTCAATGAAGCTAACCAAATTATACTCTATACAGGAATCATGGGCAAAGAAGGAAGACAGGCCGTGAGAAACAGCGACTATGCAATCGCGAGGTTCAAGTTCCTCTCCAAATTGCTGCTTGTACACGGCCATTTCTACTACGTTAGAATAGCAACCCTTGTGCAATACTTTTTCTACAAGGTACGTTTTCTCAGAGTGGAAGCCTATTGTGTTGCTTTCGCGAGATTTGCGTTCTTATAATGGTCTTTGTTTTCTTTTTCTTCTAGAATGTGTGCTTTATCACTCCCCAGTTTTTATACCAGTTCTTCTGTTTGTTCTCACAGCAAGTAAGTGTGTGTTGATGTCATGTCGTATGTCAGTGTTGTACAGTCCTTAACCCGTGTGCTGTGTTTGAAACGCTGAAACGCCAGTCATTTCAATAGGAATGAGTAATAATGTGACTTTTCCATGTAGATTTCACAACTGGTTAAAGTTGTAAACACTTTAAATGTATTCCTCTTTATAATACGCATTATTCTTTGCTCAGACTAAATGCAGAGAGCCTTTTCTGTCTGATCATACGTTCTTTGAAATGTTGGTTAAGTCTGGAGATTTGAGGTGTGATCAGTGTGTGATTTCTCCTTGCAGACTCTTTATGACAGTGTGTACCTGACGCTGTATAATATCTGCTTCACCTCTCTGCCCATACTGGTGTACAGTCTGTTTGAGCAGCTGGTGCATCCACATGTTCTGCAGAGCAAACCTGCACTTTACAGGTACGCCAGCACACACCTGTGACGACTACAGGGCACAAATCTGATCCTTTAAACTTCAATAAGACCAAAACACTGTTTGGTTTTTCACTTAGGGGAAAAGATTGGGGAACACCAGATTTTTAAATCAGTCCATAACATGGTGCAATGAGCAAATTTAGTTTTAAAGTAAAGTGCTTACAATTATAACATCATATAGATTTAAACCTAAGCTCTCAGGGCAGTTTTGTCAATATTTCATTGGGTAATGTTCAGTCATTTTAATCAGCTGTACTCTAGATTAAAATGGCTGAATATTACACAATGAAATATTGACAAACTGTCAAATAAACATATTGCATATAAATGTAGTTAGTGAAAATAATTGTACAAAAATTTAATGAAAAAAAAACCTATATATATATAATACACACACACACAGTATCAACATCACTTAAAAAAATAAACATTAACTGAATTGAAATGAAACACTTTTATGTCTGCTAGTTGTACTGCAACATTACCTCATTTTTGTTTGGTTTAGGTTGAAGCACTAAAGCAACTCAAACTTAATAAAAACGATATACTTTTTTTGTTTAACTAACAGATTTTCAAAAACACACATTTCTAAAGCTTAAGGCGAGATGCTACAGGTGAATAGGGTAATTTTTTTAACTAGCAGATATCACCATGAAACATTCCCAGTTGATTATCTACATTAAGATGAGAAAAAAATATATAACAAGTTTTCTGTAATTTAATGTTTAAATATGCACTAATTTGCATATATTTAAAAAACGAAATCGGAGTATTGGATAAAGCGAAGGTTCAAAATGATTTTTTCTTTGTGTTCACTTATTAGATGAGAAAAAAATTTTCAGAAGGATTTATGGATATCTACTTTTGTTACCCTGTAAATCAGATTATACTGCCAATTGCCTTTAAAAAAATGATTTTTGCCATGTTTTTGGAATAAAATGTTATATAAATCAGGCTAGGAATAATATATTTACAAATCCCTCTGTAAATGTCTTCATAATATAACTAGGTACTAGACTGGAAAGTTTGGTGTATATAGGTGCTACTGAAGTGGAGATTTCGGACTTGAAGTATGAGAGAAAAGTCATTTTGAGAGAACTGGCTTTAAAGATTTAGCATCAGCCAATGAGATCGCGCATTTAGAGTTAAATCCCGCTTTTACTTTCACGATTGGTTGCTGATAAAAAGGAAATGACCATATTTGGATCCGACAGCATTGTACAGGAGAAAGAGAGCTTTCTAACTGTGTGAAGAATAATTGAGAAATCTACAGACGCAAACAGACAAAGTGTAGTAAAATAAAGACCTAAATGTGTATTTCGGACATTTTTTTCAGCACTAGTCTGAAAGAAGACTTGTTATTGAAGACAAATATCCCAAAATCTCAAAATTGACCATGGAAAAAAAAAAAAAAAAAACGGTGTTTTTGCCTGCCGTGTCTCACCTTAAAATAAATGAAAAACAGGACATAAAAATAAAATTTAATTTAAAATATTAACCAAAAATAAGCCGTTCAACTTACTTTTAAATTACTTTCTCGTTTAAGGTTTTCATCTATTTATATTTTATTTTATTTCAGCTTTATTTCAATTAGCGAAAACTATTTTAGTAGTTTTACTTTGGCAAGAATAGCACTTTACAATAGTGCAGTAAATTAGGGCTGGTTTTAAATGGATGTTGACTGTAATTTGAGCCTTTATTTTCCCTTCATCAGAGACATCAGCAAAAATTCCCAGCTTTCCTTCAAAACCTTTTTGTACTGGACCTTCCTGGGCTTCTGCCACGCCTTCGTCTTCTTCTTCGGCTCCTACATCCTGATGGGAGAAGACACCACGCTGATGGGAAACGGACAGGTCAGCTTCACCTCTCCGGCTTCATCTCCTCTCCTCCTGTTCTGTCATTCCAGCTCATGTGTGTCTGTGGCTCTACTCATATTGCTGGCATGAACGTGTTTGAAATCCTCCAGATCTCAGAGATGCTATCTGAATTATTCAGCTCGAAGGGCTAAAACGTTAATGCTTATTGATTAACTCCAGCTTACAGACACAAAGCATCAATCCTCAAACTAATTACGCCGTTATCTGGCACATTTGTACCTCAGTGTTCGGTGTCAGTGGATGTTGGCTTTTACTACTTATCCATATTCTCTCTCTGTTTCTGCCTCTCTCTTTCTGTTTCCCGCTGTGCATGCTCTCAGATTTTGTGAGCTAACAGGCAACTGGTAAGAGTTGAGTGGATTCCAGTTGATGCATGTGTCTCTTCTAATGACCAGCTGTCTCTGTGGTTTGCTTCAGCACGAGTGGCTCATCTCCGTGTTCTTTTGATACACTGCCATCCTCTATTACGACAAGTTTTGGAAGCGCTGCCTCACTCGCCTTTCGCGTGAAAAAAAGCAAATGGCTTCCGAAAAGCCGGAATCTCTCTAATATGAAGCGATTGAGCAGGCTTGTCTCATTTTGGAGGAAGTTAAACCCTCCAGATATTTAGTTTGCAGAGTCACACTTGGGGTGGGAATCACTATACATGATACGTGGCTCACAATACCGGTAATATCAGGGGTTTCACAATATATCGCTATACAAAAATGCAACTATGTATTGTGTGTAGTTCACCCAAAATAAAAATTATTGTGTGAGGGGAAAAAGTCGAGTTTTGTCTAAAACTGCTATGTATAATGTTGATTTTAATGTGTAATAATGCAATGGGGGATATTTGTGTGCCTGATAATGCCAGATGTTATCAGAAAAAAAGTTGCCAACATTATTTTAACCCTAAAACCGTATTCTGGACAAATGTGGGCAAAATAGTTGATTTTTTTTTTTTTTAAATACTTCCCTTGATCTGAGCGGTACAAGACTTGGCTACTTTTCCTAAGTTTGCCTCATGAACACACACACATTTTTTTTGACTCAATTCTACAATGTTAAGTGGGGGAAAAATAAAATCTCCTTAATCTTGTATTTGGGTCAAAAATGGGCACCCATAGAAATGAATGAATGGGAAAAACTGTAATTTAGAGCACTCTAAAATAAGCCAAAATAAGACACCAGGTGACAGCTCACTTCATCTGTAGGTTTTAGCTCTAAGAACTTGTTGGAATGATATTTTAATGTAGTTAAAAAAATAAAACCTAAAAATAAGCATTATTTACATAGAAAATATGGTACTTTTTGAAGTAAATAAATTCAAAAATACCCCCAAAATAAAAAAACAACACCATAAATGGATAGACAAAACTTTATCGAAGACAGTGATATAACATTTATTATAAATAAAAATTAGGATCACACCTGAGTCCTCTGTGCCCACATTTGTCCACAATTACAGGATTAAGGGCTATAAAGTGAATACGGTTTGAGGGCTACATATATATAGTCGTCTACAATAATCTTCAGAATTATGAATATTGTGACTATAGTTTGAAAGACTATTTATTAACACACAATGTAACTCCAAATTTAGCATTTTTTGTTAACCTTTTATCATATGTCTTGGAGTATCACAATATCGTATTGTGAGTTCAGTATCGTGATGTGTATTGAATCGTGACATTAGGATATCGTTACACCCCTACGGTACAGCAAGTATTGTGCTATAATCAATATATTGCTAAACAATCCTAAAATGATATATCACGATATCTGTGTAACTGCGAAAACAAAATGCCTGTGAAAAAGTTAAAGGAGTAGTTCGTGTTTAAAAAAGCTTTTGCTGATAATTTACTCACCCCCATGTCATCCAAGATGTCCATGTCTTTCTTTCTTCAGTCGAAAAGAAATTAAGGTTTTTGATGAAAACATTCCAGGATTTTTCTCCATATAATGGACTTCAGTGGGAACCAAACGGTTCAAGGTCCAAAAGACAGTTTCAGTGCAAACTGTTCAAAGGGCTTTAAATGATTCCAGACGATGAATAAGGGTCTTATCAAGCGAAACGATCGCTCATTTAAAAAATAAATAACAAAGTTTAAGTTTTATAAGCTCAAACGCTCGCCTTGATCTGTTCTGTGATGTGCATTCGTGACTCTCCTGTTCAAACTCGTTTATCAAAACGAACGAGTCTTTTCCAGAGTCAATTTGTTCATTTTGTTCGTTGAATGAACCAAATGACACGAAAAAAGATTTGTTCATTTTGATAAACGAGTTTGAACAGGAGAGTCACCAACGCGCATCACAGAACAGAGCAAAGCGAGCACTTGAGCTTATAAAACTTAAACTTTGTTATTTATTTATTAAACGAGCGATCGTTTCGCTTGATAAGACCCTTATTCATCGTCTGGAATCGTTTAAAGCTCTTTGAACAGTTTGCACTGAAACTGTCTTTTGGACCTTGAACCGTTTGGTTCCCATTGAAGTCCATTATATGGAGAAAAATCCTGGAATGTTTTCATCAAAAACCTTCATTTCTTTTCGACTGAAGAAAGAAAGATATGGACATCTTGGATGACATGGGGGTGAGTAAATTATCAGCAAAAGTTTTTTTTAAACGTGAACTACTCCTTTAAGTGCAGATTTTCTCTGTATTCAAGTCCAACCTGTTAGAAAACCGCACAAATTTAAAAACATTTTAATTAACTTTAACAATTTATGCTTATACTTTTTAAAATCTTAAACTTTTTTCTTTTTGTGTTTAAACTGACATATTTAACTGCTTGACTTGTTTTATATAAATCTGGTACATTTCAAAATTCACCAACCTCTTTTATTTAAACCTGGGAACATCTCAGTGTTTACCAGCTTCCTTATAAATAACCTGGGAATTGTGTTGTCAAAGGTGCGGACTTGGGTATTTTAAAAATGTGACTATACCAGCATTTCCCTCTATCATTTGAGCGCTGTTGAGCCGATTCTTAAACGCCTCTGATTGGCCGCTGGGTTCACGCGCTCAACAGATTTGTCTCTGACTGGCTACAATGATCAGCGCTTCCAAAACAGGTTGTAAATAGGCATACGCATCTATCAGTGGATGTATTAGCGATCCGCTGATAGACGGCTAAGTATCTATTATACAACGATATGTCGCCATGTCGATATTTTATCCCACCCTTAATTCGCAACATACATCATCAAAGGCTAATCTTTTGATACACTCTTTAAATGTGTGTTTGTTTCTTGCAGATGTTCGGAAACTGGACGTTTGGCACTTTAGTATTCACAGTGATGGTTATTACGGTAACGCTTAAGGTAAGTGTCAGGCGAACGCCACACCGATGGGCTGGTGAATGACCCGTACGCTTCATGTGCTCCGTTCTCTCCTCAGCTGGCCTTAGAGACGCACTTCTGGACGTGGATGAACCACTTCGTCACATGGGGCTCCATCGCCTTCTACTTCATCTTCTCCTTGTTTTACGGCGGCATCATCTGGTACAGTATTGCCGGGGTTTTCCCAAAATGTTTGTTTCATTTGAAAAGGTTAATCAATTAACTTTTATGTTTTCCAACTTCATATCCAAAGTATTATAAGCATCATAGAAATTATGGGTTTGTGTGTATTTCCCATTATTCAGATTAGTGGTCAACAAATATGAGTTATCATTATCCCCAATCCTTAATATGGAGTTACCTTGTATTGTAACTGGTCATGCACACCACCACACAAATCCCTGCAGTCTTCTGCAGTTTTTACATGTATTTATTTAATCAAATTTGTAAATTGCGAACAATTCCTAAACAATGGTCGACTGATATTGATTCTTTGATGGCCAAGGCTGATATCTTAGAGAGCAGAGGTGGCTGATAAGATGGTATCAGGCTGTGTGTCCACCAAAGCGTTTTTCCACGCGCCTGGCATATACGTTTTCAATTGTTTTCAATAGGAGCGCCACGTTTTTTAAACGCCATGAGCGTAACGAGGCGCTGAGTGCCCAGCATTTTTTACTGGTCGCTGAGATTTGAAAATTGTCACTGTCACTTTTTACCCACCCGTCCAATCACAGTGCAGGAGGGGCGGGACTAAACCACACTGACCAACTGTCACATTCTTTCTGTACAACGACATCAACCAACAGAGCTAACCGTACAAAATGGATGAAAAATACATTTTTAGTATGGAAAATATTATCTGCGAAATCAGTTACAAGGAAACTCTGCTGCGGATATTCTGTATCATAGCAACGAAACGTCTCAACGGAAAAAAACGCTCTCAAGCGCCCAAAGCATAGCGTCTTCAGCAGAGCGTGTAGCGTTTTCAGCTGGCTTTGGTGGGCACACGGCCTTAAGTAAGGTAAAGATGAATTGGTGCTCAGATGCTGTCAAAATTCAAGTCTGCTTCGCCTTAAAATCAAAGTCCCGTTTACGACACTTCGACCAAACTCAAAACCACTTAAAAATGCCAAATACCGCTCAATGTATACGTGCGCCTTGGCTATAAATCCGCTGACCGCCATTTATTAAACTTTGAATCAATGCCAGTTTGTTAACCTGCCGCCTGAACTAGTACAGTTTTACAGATGACAACATGTTTTTATTATTTATTTTAAAAACACGATACATAGCGCAGTGGCGTGGTTGTACAGCCCAAACTGCTTTTTTTTTTTTGACAGCGGCCATATTGGAATTGGAGGATCAAGGGGTCCAGATATGTTTGGTCATAAATATAAACATTTCTATGTGTTTCCCATGATCAATTAAGCTGAAAAACATATCAAGTTTGTATTTGTAACTCATTTGGTTCGAAAGTTATAGCCGGAACCCTTTTCGGGCAGCGGCCATATTGGATTTGGCCGCCATCTTGGCCCCGAGGGTCGCTGGCTCCGGCGCCCTAGCTAAATCATTTAAGTATGACCTGAGCCAAATCTGTGCCAAATTTGCCGCTTTTAGATGAATTTGCGCGAAAATGTGCTTAAGACCCCCAACTAGATCAGGTTTTGCTGATTTGGATTTTGCTTTTGGATCAGAGCCGACACTAAAAGCGGAGGTGCTCTGGTTTCTCCACACGGTGACAAGACGCCAGTCCTACATTCTTTCAAACGATGTTTCCGGACTCTGACATCGCTAAATCCTTCAGGTGTGGGGAAGATAAAACGGCCTACATTGCGTGCTTTGGAATTGGGGGTTTTATTAAAACAGAAACATAACTAATTTCCAAAATCACGGGACCGTTCGTGCTGATTTTCGACGAATGTTCAGTTTGAATAAATTAAATTACTTTGCGAATAGTTTTGAGACTCTGCGTTTCCTTTGTATGTTTTTTTTTTTTTTTTTTTTTTCATGATATAGGTCTTAAATTTCATTCATAATGATCTTAAAAAGGCCTTTAAAAGTCTTAAATTTGATTTTGTGAAACCTGCAGAAACCCTGTTCAAATCTTTGCGCTGTAATCTCCGGTTACTGCGTTTTATTATTTGTCCAGTGTGAGAAAGTCAGGAACGATGTTTAAATTGGTTGTTTCCCTTCTAAACTGTGTTTATTGAATTTTGTTGATTTGCTGGTAAAAACGGTTTGCTCTTACGTTGGATCCGGTCCCTCATGACCAGCCGCACAGTGTACTGTGGATTTTAGTCAAGATGTTGAGCTCAATATTTGGCTCTGCCTCTGAAACAATTGGCCGTTTGCTCAGTAGTTGGATATTTTGAATATTTGTATCAAAAAATATATGTTGGTTTCAACTAACTGGAGATGTTTCCCCCTCCGTCAGGCCGTTCCTTCACACACAGGACATGTACTTCGTCTTCGTTCAGCTGCTGTCCAGCGGCTCAGCCTGGTTCGCCATCATCATCATCATCATCACCTGCCTGTTTCCTGATGTCATCAAGAAGGTCTTTTACAGGCACCTGCACCCAACCAGCACGCAGAAGTCTCAGGTGAGCGTCACACTTCAAACACCGATCCAGATGGTGAGAGAGATGCTAATATTGTGCTAGATTTATGCTTTCTAAGCTGACACTGAAGCATGTGGCTCACGTCACCGCATGAACTCTCACCAGCAGCTTCACTCGAGCTCACTCAGACATGCAGCATCACAGATATGGCAGATCTTCTGCATATGTCTAGACTCTGGGAGGGCTAGCATGTCTGGTTGAATTATGAGAATAGATAATGGCAGGTTGTAGCGTCATGTTTACTTTCTGTTAGTATTTGTGTGAAAAAAACTTCCTCACTGACATGTTAAAGTTCCTCATTTACCAGTCCTTCCTGTTTTTTTGTGATTGTTGCGGGCAAAAATCCTTGATTATGCGGGCCGTTTTCTTTATGCGATGAAATTGCGGGAACAAAAACTGCAGTTTGACGAAAAATAGAGAAAAAAGCGATTCCCCCAACACTCACCAGGCCACTACCTTAATGTAAAGAGTCATTTCTTATTATTTCTTATTATTTAAGTATAACTATATCACAGATAGTGCTGGAATATATCAGTTCTCCTCTTGTTTTATTTCAGACCTTAACCCTCTGGGGACTAAGCCCTTTTTGGTCCGTTTTCTCTATTTTTACATTTAGGCTTATAAACTACAGTATATGTAATGGAGATGAAACACTATGTGTTTGGTGTCTATGGATTCAGAAGACCCTAAGCTAACATAATCATGCATGTAATGTGTTTATAAATGAAGTATGAGTGAAAAATGTACAATATACTAGAGAATTTCAAAAACGGAAATTCGATTTTTGTCATTTATTTCTGAAAATCACACATCACACAACAATAGTGAACAGTTTTTGAACAAAAAATATATACTTGTCAAAGCCTTTTCTGGACAGACATGTAATTGTTAAATAAAATGAGTAAAGAACAATGAAAAATCTAACTTTATTTACAAATAGTCCCAGGCGTTTTTCTTGGGAATGCTTAGACATTTCTCCTCGTCACTCTCCAGTAATTGTTCCAGAGCCTGTTCCACCGTAAATCGTTTACTGCTTGCCATCATAAAACAGCTAAAATAATAAATAATGCTATAATTTTATGTATATATGAAGAGTTCAGATGCAAAAGCCTCTAAATGCCATTTGAAATTTTCATCTTTAATGATGATTTTTGTCAAACTTGTATATTTAAGTTCAGTAATTTCACTTAAATAACAATTAATAGGTAATTATCATTGCCATTTAAGTGAAATTACTGAACTTAAATATACAAGTTTGACAAAAATCATCATTAAAGAAGAAAATTTCAAATGGCATTTAGAGGCTTTTGCATCTGAACTCTTCATATATATATATTAGAATTCTTCTGTCTCTCTCTCATATAAATCTCAGCGCGCTCTTGCTCCGTAAAGCCTTGTTTATACTCGATGCGTCCGTTCGCTTTCTGTCGTCTCCTCCACCACTCGACGCTGTTTGCGTCATATCCCTTACTATATAGTATCACTCTTGAAAGGCTACAGAGTCCTCTGATTTGCTATAATACGTCATGGTAACCTTCCTCTGATTGGGTAAGAAAAATATTCCTCCATCTGCAATTTTTCCATTGGTTGTTGCTCGTGAATCTGCCAAACAACATTGATTTCATTGGCCTTTGACGTGTCTATACAAGCCGGGTGTCCGGTTATCGCTGTTTTCAGTGGAATCTGAGGAAGACGACAAAGCCTCTCTATCATGAATAGTTTTTATAGATTTATAAAAGAATAGATTTTGGGCGGTGCCGCCCACTCCGTCCTCAGAGGGTTAATAAACACTGAGACAAACAAGTTTTGTAGCTTTACACAAGGAATATGCTACAACTTCTGTAAAAATGACAAGTATTATCCCAAATTTACAGATTTAAACATGTCAAATGATGGGAATATTGCTTCAGATTAAATTATATTTACAACACAAAAAGAATATACTTTTTTTACCCTGACAAGCGAAGGACGGTTTACTTGCCGGAAGGATGAGTACATGATGAGCTCAACGTCGAGCCCTGTTTCCGTTTGTGCCGAATGAGAGAGATGAGCCCAAAAATTTGGATTATGCCATATATCGGCTTTGTATGATTAATTTTTGCAAATTTTTTTGCCGATATATGTGTAGGATAGTGCGAGGGGTGAAAAGAAGTTTTACTCGTGTCTCACTCTCTGCCTTTTTTGTGGGGAAATTAAACCGTTCTCTTTCTTTCTTTCTTTCTTTCTTTCTTTCTTTCTTTCTTGTCTTAATCCTTCCATTGACACTTTGCCTACATCCCTGTGTGAGCCTGTAACTGAAGTCTCGCTGCGGTTGTGTGCCGTCAGCCAGAGGTGGGGACAAGTCACACATGGTCAAGTCCAAGCAAGTCTCAAGTCTTAACCATCAAGTCTCGAGTCAAGTCTCAAGTCGCAGTTCAGATAAATCAAGCAAGTCAAGTCAAGTCAAGGGTTCACCCTAAGCAAGTCAAGTCAAGTCCTGATAAGTTTCAAGTAAAGTCAAGTCACACTACTAAAATAAATAGAGGTAAATTTTTTCGATACATATTTATTTTTGCACAGAAAAGATGAACTTTTATACATTATGTATCTTACATTTGCTATATTAATCATATGCATATCTGTGCTACATTAATATCTGAAAATAAAATAAAATTGTGTTGTTTACACAAAACGTTCAGAGTCTAAGATGTATCGATTCTAAGATGTATAATCCAATCTAATTCAATTTAATTGAAACGGTCTAAAATGTATGAAATCTAAAATGTAATATCTTATATCTTATATAAATGTAAAATATAAAATGTATGAAATGTATGAGAATATAAAATGCAATTTTTTTTTTAATTCAGTAGTTTTTCTTATCATAGCCAACAAATGTCTTCGGAAACTCCTTTTCCTCGATTTACTGAAACCTATATGTAAAACGCATTTGCAGCTGCACAGCCGTGTATATATCTATGCTGCATATACAGACATCCCAACCTACAAGAATTCATTTCAGGGAGGTATATCTCAATTATATGGGGGGGGGTTAATATATGTTATATTAACATATTTAAAATATGTTTAAAATAAATATAAAATAAAAATGGTAATATGTTATATTAACATATTTTATATTTAATAAATATTACATATTAAATAATATTATGTATATTATATATTAAATTTACATAAATATTAACAAATGATTGTTTTAATTATGGAATTCTCCATAATTAACTCCTAAACTTCAGTAGAGAACAATTCTTTGTAAGGAAGGAGGGGTTTCTTTATTGTACATTTATTTGCATGTAGTATGTAGCATATGGTTTGCGTTGCTTTAAATTGGTCAGTACAGCGCTGACTATTGAGTGTCGCTAGGAAACACGTCCGCGCTGCGCTGACGAATCGGCTGCGCGGCTCGGATCATTGAACCGTGCAGATGACATGTCTGCGCGGCACGAGCTCTGTAAAGCCCCGCTGTCTCGTTCCACTTTTGGTTTGTTTGGCTTCCCATATCTCTGCCGTGCACACGCCGCACGCTATGTAGCCTATGTTATACGCGCAGTATCTCGCTCTAGATTCCGGGAGATTTTAACTCATTTGCGGGCATCAGGGAGACGCTATCAATATGCGTGAGACTCCCGGAACTTCCGTTTGGCGCGGTTTGAATTGAGCAGCGTAAAGGCACAGATGCCGATATATTGATGCTGACGTCATAATATATATTTTAATTAACTGTATTGCTGTTTGTTTATTATATGTTCAAGTCATTGTCGAGTCTTCCACTTCAAGTCAAGTCAAGTCTCAAGTAACTTGTTCTCAAGTCAAAGTCAAGTCAAGTCATTTTTGTACTTTAATCAAGCAAGTCACAAGTCCTGAAAATTGTGACTCGAGTCAGACTCGAGTCAAGTCATGTGACTCGAGTCCCCCACCTCTGCCGTCAGCACACGCTGCCCTGCGGATGACACCCGATCGCTCCGAGTGCATTCTCTCTCTCTCTCTACGTCGACCGCTCGCTTCCTGTTTCCTGTCTTTCTCATTTCTGAATGTGTGTGGTTGCTGCATTGTGGTCTTGAGTGTATAACTGCACATGTGACTCTTCCTTCTCTTTACTGACCCTCTGTGTGTGTCCTGTAGATGTACACCAACCGCGTGGCTATAGGTGACGACTTCATCGCACTTCAGCCTCTGTCCAGAGCCAAGAATCAGCTGGGCAAGATTAGGTAGAGTAGGAGAGACACTCCCACACTGCATGCGGCAGGACAAACTAACATGCGTTCAAAGAGGAGTGTGAGAGAAACTCTTCACCCTGCATGCGTAACCCGCTACCTGCAAGTGCATGAGTGTGTAGGCCAGATTTAAAGCAGACGTAAGCTTCCTCGTGCAGCACGGCCTTGAGCTCGCTGCTCTTTGTGCACCAGCGTATGAAAAATAAATGTGTTCCTGGACTGCATGCACCCAACACGATTGTATCTTTACTCTCTACCAACGAGCAGGGAAATGAGCTCCAGTCCAGCTACAGCAAGGCACCATTAAAAAAGGGTAAAAAAAAAACCCCATTAAAATCTGATTTTGACAGCTTGTTTGCTCTGTTTCCAAACCAAGTGACTTGACTTTATGTGTTCAACCCTTCTAAGGCAGCTTCACACACTCTTAAATAGAGATCAAGTTCAAGTTTCAAGTTTATTGTATTTATAAAGCACATTTAAAACAACCTTGGTTGACCAAAGTGCTGTACAAAATATAGCTATTTAAATCCATGTGATGTGGCTTTTTGTCACAATGCTAAAGAAAAACTATTTTGGGTTCCTTTCAGTGAACAGATCTAAAAAGACCTTGATGCGGAGAACATTTTAATAATGTAAAGCAGGGGTTCCCAGACTTTCCCATTCCAGGACCCACCAATAAAAGTACAATCTCTATCTCAAGATCCCCCTAGTGAAAAGTAAATGTATTTGAAATATATGTATTTAATTCAAAGTAAATTACAAATACAT